ACCAATATTTCCCTAGGTCATGGTACATTTTTGTCAAACCTGGATGAATAGAGGAGCGGGACCCATAAGCTTCTTCTAGGATATTGTCCCTCAACCCATTAGTTACACCAAAAGACATTACCAAGAACTCTTAATGACCATATCTAGTCCCGAATTCCGTCTCTGGTATATCCTCACCTCTCAACCTAAGCTTATGATACCCCAATCTCAAGTCAATCTTAGAAAAATAGCTTGCCCCTTGGAGTTGATCAAACAAGTAGTCAATCCGAGGGAGAGGATACTTGTTCTTGATTATGACCTTATTGAGTTGGCGATAATCAATGCACATTCTCAAGGATCCATCCTTTTTCTTCACAATCAAAACTGGAGAACCCTATTGAGAACTATTAGGTCTTAAGAAGCCCTTGTCAAGTAAATCTTTGAGTTGAGCCTTCAAATCTTTCAATTTATCCGGAGCCATACGATAAGGAGGAATTGAAATGGGATTTCTATCTGGTAGCAAATCAATGCCAAAATCAATTTCTCGTTTGGGAGGAATACCGGCAAGGTCATGAGGAAAAGTCTCCGAAATTCACTCACTACGGGGACCGACTCAATGGGAGGAATTTCAAAGTGTAGATCTTGGACTCTTAAAATATAGTATAGAAAACCTTTAGAGATCATTTTTCATGCTTTTAGACAAGCGATAATACGACCTCTCAGAATAGAATTTCCCCACTTCCACTCTACAACTGGTTCATTTGGAATGCTAAGCTTACCACCCTCGTCCTACATTCAATAGAAGCAAAGCAAACATGCAACCAATTCATAACCAATATAACATCAAAATCAAGAATATTGAGTTCTACTAGATCAACATAAGAAACTCCTTTGGGAAACAGTATTGGACAATTTCTATACACCTTTTTTGCAACAACTGACTTACCCACCGGAGTAGACACTATAAAAGGTTCATGGAAAATATCGGGTAAAATATCAAACTTTTTGGCTACTAGAGAAGTAACAAAGGATAAAGTAGCACTGGGATCAAGTAAGGCATATACGTTAATAGAGAAGACTTTTAACATACCGGTCACCACGTCAGGAGAATTCCCTTGCTCACCCCTAGAGCGGAGAGCATAGAAGCGGTTCTTCTTTGGTGAGTCATTAAAACCACATGTTTTAGATTGACCACTACCCTTGTCTTGACTTTTCAAGTTTGGACAATATCTCATCTTGTGACCACTCTTACCACAACTGAAGCAATTATCCGTCCACTTAAGGCAATCACCATAGTGCTTCTTGCCACACTTTCCACAAATTGGCTTCTCGGTTGGTGAATTAGTACCTTTTTCCTTCTTGAATTTAGGGTTAGACACCCTATCACCACCAGCTTTTGGGAACTTGGAAGGGACTTGACTTGAAACCCGCTTCTTAAATATACGGTTTTCTTGTATTTCAATCCTATTCTTTGAAGAATTTTCATCAAAAGACCGAGATCTCTTTACATATCTACTCTTTCTCTTAGACCTTGCCTCCTCAACCCTTCTTGCATGCACCATAAGACGGCAAATGTTCATGTTGTCATGTAGCATGGCCGAATGAAACTCCTCTTGTAATTCCTCCGAAACCCCCGTCACAAAGAGGCTCATTTCATCTCTGGGGTACAAAAACAAAGAAGGAGCATATTTGGACAATTTAATAAATTCTAAAGAGTATTCATGGACACTTTATTCTCCTTGGCGAAGATTGATGAACTCCACAACTTTTTCCTCCCTCATCTCCCTATGAAAGAACCTATCTAGAAAAGCATTCTTAAAGATCTCCCAAGTCAACGGACCACCCATCAATGGCCTATTATCCCTCCATTGCACATACCATGCTTGTGACACATCCTTGAGTTGATAGGTGGCCAACTCAAACTTCTCACTTGTGGACGACCGCATAGCAAAAAGTATCTTATAGAATTCATCGATGAATTCTTGGGGGTCTTCATCAACCTTATACCCGTAGAAAGTAGGAGGATTCATTCGAATGAAATCTCTTAGACGGGAAGCAATAGTAGAGACTTGTTGTTCAGAACGGGGTACAAGCTCCCGGATGGCTTAGGTGGTCATAGGTTGGGCATGGATCGTGGAGGCTTGAGCCAATTGAGTGAGGGTATCCCTCATATATCCATACGTCAAGGGTGCAGCATTGACCGGATCTTGATCAACATTAGTGTATTCTTCAAGTGGAGGAACTTGCTCACCCCGGGGGGAGCTCTCGCATTGGAAATTTCCTCTTCAAGTCTTTGAGCCACATTCCTTCGAGTGTTCATGCTTCCTATAAGCACAACAGTAGGATTACATGCAAAATCACACCATAAGTATACTCTATCGGCACGATATAGGATTTCCAAGAAAGAGAGTGATTCCTAGGCATCACAGAGCTTCCTATTCATAAGTGTGGCGCACTTCACAATTATAAATACAAACCTACATAGACGTGGTAAAGAGAGACATAACTCAATGTTATTCAACCTCATGCTCTAATACAAGGTTTGTCACATTCGGGTTTACCCCCTAAACGTAACCGGCGTCGGCGTCCTCTTTGCGGACTAAGACTAGCCCGTTAGTCTCATGTCATTACATTCATAGGTTGAAAATGCAAAAAGAATTTAAAACTTTTCATTACATCTACTTGGAGGTTTAAATAGACCTCTACATACACATAATACATAGTCGTATCGAGTATATACAGACCCTTCGTATAGGAAGGTTACATAGCCTTCTACTTTTATTGCACATACCTATATATAAGATAGAAAGATAGTCTCAAAGATTGTCTCATCTCATAGCATCTAAACGATCATCACAATATGGGCATAGCCCTATATTAAATGTAAAGAAGCAACACATAGGCGTATACAAGTCGTAGACAATAAAAGTGGAATGAACATAAAAGTCTTAGAAAAACAAAGGAACTTCGTAGGCAAGATATTGACTTCGCCATCGAAAAGTGAGGACCTACCCACTTGGATGATAGAGAATATATCCAAGCCTTCTTTAAGTCGTCCTGAATGAGCATTCAACGACCAGAACCAAAAATGTTTGGGAAAAGGGAAGAAAATGGGGTTAGTACTCAACATGTACTAAGTATGAGACCTTATGCACATACAAAAGCAAAAAATGCAAAAAAAAAGGACATTTAGTCAAAACATGCCATTTTACCCCTTTTAGAAGTCAAATGCAAAATCAAGCAATTCATACCAACCAACAAAACGTTCTTACTAACTCAACATGTATTATGTATCCCAACATTCTTGAACCCATGATTTACTACAACCGTATCATCAAGTAATAACATCAAAAGTATGAATAAGAGTCAATTATATCATAATAAGATAGACAACTACTCATGAATCCTTATTAAGCCAATAAGTGCAATGACCAAGCAAAGCCACATAACCTTACTCAATCAAGTAGCCTCAACAAGAAATAATGACCGATGTTCAACTCCTCATAATATAACATTTAGAGATACATTTCATCTTATTTTAGCAATACAACTCAACACATACTCACAAGTGAACTAATCAACATGTAGTATCAACAATGTGCCAAGTTCATCATATACATATCATATATCATCATAACATAAACATATGTAAGAACATCCTCCTAAGACTCCATTCGAGGCTAACTAGTGCGATGCTTAGGTAGAGCCCCATGCCCCTTCCTAGATGAAACTAGACCCCTTAGGTTATCCAAGTTAGAGTTCAAATCCTTTCATTCATTTTACCTTTTTGGTAACATCTTGTCCTAACCGACATAGACCACATGATCTAGTGTGGAATCCGGTGTCATAAAACCCTATACCGAAAGAAGGTGGACTACTTGCCAAGGTAGTACCAAAACATGAAACATAGAAACTACATGGATCCACTAGCTAGTATTCCTATTGGGACAACATAGTTCAAGAACTAGGAGATACAGTTGGGACCCTCTTTATGCTCCATCTCATAGTCTCCAATATGAAGATTAATGTAATTCTCCTACCTTCCCTACGTGGGAAGGTCACTCCTCAATCTAGTTCACTCGTTGCTAAGCTAGAGTCCCTTTTTGAAATTATTTAAGCCTTTATTTATCAATCATAGCTTAGTTTAGGTCATAGGGTCTACCCCTTGTATAATAATCAACATCTATAGCTCAATAATAATTACATGAGGATAGTCTTTCATCACAATTCATAAAACTGAGGTTAACACATTATCATTACATAATATATCAAGGCACATTGATAGTTAAAACCCTCCTTATATCACATACACATTAATTAACCTCACAACATAGTCAAGACATTTCAATTCAACATCATACCACCCTATGATCCTAATATAAGGCATACTCCAATATAAGATCATGATTTAACAAGAATTAATCACAATTGGAAGTAAAGAAAGAGATTCCAAGACATACCAAGTCTTCCTCATAGTTCATCATTTAGGCCTTACCCTAAAACCTCAATTCAATCCAATTTAGATGTTCAATATAATAATTCAATAATCAATATGATAAAAATACTAGAAGAGTCACTACACCATAATTCAATACCAATTCACTGCTTAAAACAAAGTTACTTAGGCCAATTTCCATAACCTGGATCACTTCTCAAGATTTGCATCAAAAATAATAATTCATTATAATTTGTTATTGATTGGTGTAACAACATCATCTAATAGTGATTTAATCCATATTCAAGACTATTGAATCAATCACAATCTAATTTACATCAAGATCAATATAGGGTTATGGGTTAAGGATCATAATCTTCAAATTGAACAAAACCATCACAATTGATCATAATCAAGTTAAAACACATGTCAATATATCCATTATATCCTAATGAAACCATAAAAAACTAATCTCACAACATCAATTTCGTAATTGGATGAAACCCACATGAAAACTCAACTTTTGAAATTCATTTAGAAGGAAACCTTTTAGGAAATAGTCTCAAAGGTGAATTAGATCCCATACCTTAACGTTTGATGAAGATTTGATGGTGAATTAGTCCCTTTCCAGCCCCCGAAATCTCCTCCTAGCTTGTTTCCAATGGTGGTTTCCAATAGAGAGAGAAAAAAGAGAGAAGGAAGAGAGTTTATTTTGTGAGTTGTAATTAGATAAATTGGGGTTGGGCCTTTATATAGGAGTTAAATTAGTTAATTAGTTTTACCTTAATCCATAACTAAACATTAAACCACTTAATTAATTAAATAACTTAACATTAAAACATGTAGGAAAATCAAGACCCTCATAAACGGAACCCCATCAACGGGCCGTCTGTGAATCGACGGACTGGCCCCCCTCTGTCCTGCACATCCATAGGTAAGTTCAGAGACTTGTCCAGGCGAGGGATTTCTCAAATTGTGTAAGTGTGGGATTACAGTAGAATCGACGCCCCGTCAGTCCACACACGGCCCGTAGCCAATTCTGTCGATGCACACTACTTAGGCAGTGTTGCTTAAACCTGCAGGGTTCCTCCTCAAGGGAACTTGGTTGGTCCGTGGGGAGTCATACCACGACGTTTCGACAATGAAATAAATTAAACACCTATTAGCTACCCTTTCACCATTTTTCATAAATTTCTGACTCCTAAACTTAAATTGGCTAAGGCACACTAGTACCACTTTGAACCAACTTTCGGACGTCATGAACGTTCTTGGAAGTTTTGGTTCTTAAACTTCCTAAATGACCTATATTTATTAAAAGAGGTCTTAAAACAGTTCTTAGACCCCATGGAACCTATGTTAGGCTCTAAGACTCGTCTTGGATTTTAAAAGTGTTACATTATCCCCCCCCCCAGGAACATTCGTCCCCAAATGACACTAAAATTTCTTTTGAAAGAAGGAAATACACTCAAGACTAGCAGACCAACCAATCAACAATATCAGATCAACATAAATCATCACCTTCCAACAAGGCAAATTTCAAAACTTCAATTATCACACATGAATCTCAAAACACTTCAGCATGAGGTATTTCCTTCTCACAACACACATGAGCTCAACATACATTACATGAGTCAATTAGCACAAAGTTCAACTTAACCACATTCTACATATAATTTCATAAAGACTCCCCATACAAGGTTTAGGCACCATATTCAGTGCAACCTTATTGTAATGCAACTCCCAAAATGCACATTTTTGCAACACTTCACCAAAAATCATGAAACTCCAATTTCTGGTCATATTTATATTATTAAAAAGAATGACTAACCTTAATTATCAGAAAGCAAGAGTAACGGGACTTCATGTCGGCCTCAACCTCCCATGTTGCTCCCTCAACTAGGTGATTCTTCCAAAACACCTTTACTGAAACGACTTCTTTTTTCCTTAACTTCTTGACTTTCCTATCAAGAATTTGAACTGGAACTTCCTCATAAGAGAGGTTATCCTTGACAACAAGACCCTGAATAGGAAGAATGGAATCGGGATCACTGATACACTTCTATAACATCGAAATATGGAAAACTGGATGAAACGAAGTCAATTCACTAGGAAGTTTCAATTCATAGGCCACCTTACCAACCCTTTGCAAGATTTAAGAGGGACCCACATAACGAGGAGTCAACTTCCCTTTCTTGCAAAATCTAACCACCCCTTTCATTGGTGAAATTTCAAATACACCTTATCACCTTCTTCAAACTCCAAATCCCTACTCCTATGATCGGCATTAGACTTTTGCCGACTATAGGTCGTTTGCAACTGGTTCCTTATGATATGAACCTTTTCCAAAGTCTGATAAACCAAATTGGAACCAAGAAGCGAAGGCTCACCCACTTCAAACCATCCAATAGGAGACCTACACCTCCTACCATACAAGGCTTCATCGGGAGCCATGAAAACGGATGAATGAGAACTATTATTATAAGCAAACTCCACCATAGACATGTTTATACCAATTCCCTCTAAAATCAATAATGCATGCCCTAAGCATATCCTAAAGAATTTGAATAGTGTGTTCTGCTTGACCATCCATTTGGGGATGAAAAGCAGTGCTTAACTTCACCTTAGTACCCAACCCTTTTTGGAATGATCTGCAAAACCTAAATGTAAAGTGTGAACCTTGATCCGATATTGATGGATAAAGGACTGCCATGGCGATGCATAGATCTCATCTAGGAAGATCCAAGCATAATCTTCTGCCGAATAAGTAAACTTGACGGGAATAAAGCGAGTGGACTTAGTCAACCTACCACAACAACGCATATGGAATCATATGACTTTTGAGTCCAAGGTAAACCCACTTCAAAGTCCATATTGATGTCTTCCCACTTCCAAGTAGGAATTTAGATCTCTTGTAGTAAGTCGCCCGACTTTTGATGTTCGGCCTTTACTTGTTGGCAATTTGGACACTAAGCGACAAACTACGCTATGTCCCTTTTCGAACCTTCCCACCAATATATTTCCCTTAGGTCATGGTACATTTTGTAGAACCCAGATGAATGGAGTAGCGGGACCCGTAAGCTTCTTCTAGGATCCGGTCCCTCAACCCATCTACATCGGAAACACACTATCTCCCTTGATACCTTAACACACCATCCCCTCCAAGGAGAATGAATCATTTAACTTGCTGAGAACCGATTCTTTCAACTCCATCAATGGTTCATCAAGGTGTTGTTTAGACTTCACCTCAACCACTAGAGATGACTCGGGGTTATAATAGACTATCGCACCCCCATTCGGAGAACCATCCAACCTCACCCCCAACCTAGCCAACCTATGAACTTCCCTCGCTAGGTCCTTCTTGGCTTCGTCAATGTGAGATATACTACCCATAGTCATACGACTTAGGGCATCCGCAACCACATTAGCCTTGCTGGGGTGATAAAGGACACTCATGTGATAATCTTTCAACAATTCTAACCACCTTCTTTGCCAGAGATTCAACTCCTTTTGGTTAAACACATATTGGAGAATTTTATGGTTGGTTCATCATATACATATCATATATCATCATAACATAAACATATGTAAGGACATCCTCCTAAGACTCCCTTCAAGGCTAATTAGTTCAATGCTTAGGTAGAGTCCCATACCTCTACCTAGACTAAGCTAGACCCCTTAGTTTATCCAAGTTAGAGTTCAAATCCTTTAATTCATTTTACCTTTTTGGGAACATCTTGCCCTAACCGATAGACCACAAGAGATAGTGTGGAATTCAGTGTCATAAAAAACTATACCAAACTAGTTGCAAATGCAATACCAAAACACGAAACATAGAAACTACGTGGATCCACTAGCAAGCATTCCTATGGGGACAATATAGTTCAAGAACTAGGAGATATAGTTGGGACCCTCTTTGTGAGTCATGCCTTATAGTCTCTTTTTGAAATGTCTTTAAGCCATTATTTATCAATCATAGCTTAGTTTAGGTTATAGGGTATACCACTTATATAATAATTATCATCAATAGCTCAATAAGAATTGCATGAGTATAGTCCTTTCATCACAATTCATATAAGTGAGGTTAACACATTAGCATTTCATAACATATCATGCCACATTGATAGTTATCACCATCCTTATATCACAAACACCTTAATTAACCTCACAATATAGTCAAGACATTTCAATTCAACATCATACAACCCTATCTTCCTAATATAAGGCATACTCGAATATAACATCATGACTTAACAACAATTAATCACAATAGGAAGTAAAGATAGAGAATCCAAGACTTACCAAGTCTTCCTCATAATTCATAATTTAGGCCTTACCCTAAATCCTCAATTTCAATCCAATTTAGATGTTCAACATCATAATTCAATAATAAACATGATAACAATACTAGATGAGTCGCTACACCATAATTCAATACCAAACCAATGCATAAAACATAGTTACTTAGGCCAATTTCCAAAACGTAGATCACTTCTCAAGATTTGCATGAAATACAACAATTCATTCTAATTTTCTTATGGTTGGTGTAACAACATCATATAATAATGATTCAACCCATAATCAAGACTATTGAATCAATCACACCCCAATTTACATCAATATCAATCTAGGGTTAAGGGTTAAGGATTATAATCATCAAATTGAACCAAACCATCACAATTGATCATAATCAAATTACATCACGTGTTAATATATCCATTATATCCTAAATAAACTATAAAAAAAACTCAGTTCACAACATCAATTTCATAATTGGATGAAACCCACATGAAAATTGAACTTTTGAAATCCATTTAGAAGGAACCCTTTGAGGAAAGAGTCTCAAAGGTGAATTATATCACATAACTTATCATTTGATGAAGATTTGATGGTGAATTCATCCCTTTCTAAAACCTCCCCCTAGCTTGTCTTCAATGGTGGTTTCCAATTGAGAGAGAAACAAGAGAAAAGGAAGAGAGTTTATTTTGTGAGATATAATTAGATTAATTGGGGTTGGGGCCTTTATATGGGAGTTAAATTGGTTGATTAGTCTTACCTTAACCCCTAAATAACCACTAAACCAATAAATTAATTAAATTACTTAACATTAAAACATGCAGGAAAATCAAGACCCTCACAGACCGAACCCCGTCGACGGGCCATTTATGAGTCGACGAATTGGCCCCCCTCCGTCCCGCACATCCATAGGTAAGTTCAGAGACTTGTGTAGGAAAGGGATTCATCAAATTTGCTAAGTGTGGGATAACGGTGACGTCGACACCCCATCCGTAGCCTGCTCCGTCAATGCACACTTCCTAGGCAGTGTTACCTCAACCTGCAGGGTCCTCCTTAAGGGCCATGGATTGCTCTTTGGGGAGTCGTACCCAAATTTTTTTACCATGAAACAACTTAAACACCTATTATCTACCCTTTCACCATTTTTCATAAATTTCCGACTCCTAAAAGCAAATCAAATAGGCTAAGTCACACAAGTACCTCTTTGAACCAACTTTCGGACGTCAAGGACGTTCTTGGACGTTTTGGTTCTTAAACTTCCTAAATGGCCTATATTCATTAAAGTAGGTCTTAAAACAATGCTTATAACCCATTGCACCTATGTTAGACTCTAATAATACCCTTGGATTTTCAAAGTGTTACATCTAGGGTTCCTTCGATTGAGATTTAAGTCTGGTGAGAGAGACACTAGAGACAAGTTGGAGCTAAGTGGGTTTTCGGAATTTAGAGGATTTAGGTTAGTTTAATGAGTTGGAACCCTTTTATATCCCCAACAAACTAATGTAACCACCCCTTAATCCCTAATTAATCAACCACCTAATTATCTGGACTCTTTCACCTCAGCCGATTTAGGACAGTGCACTAGAGCGTCAATCGACGACAGGACGTCGACGGGATGTTTACCAGAACACGGACCGTATTGATCATTCGTGGTTCTTGTCAGATACTCCTTTTTGGGAGCCTTTTGGTGCTGCGGCTCAGAGTCAAGTGATGGTGATCCGATTTCGAAAACTAAAAGTTCCAAAGCCAATTTCGCAACTCTGGCAATTTTTGTTAAGTTTTTTAAAAACTAAATAATTTTGGGAAGTCGCCACTTATTTTTAGGGAAAAAAATAAGAAAATCATATAAAAGTAAAAATTTGTATAGAAAATATTTAAAAACCAGAGTCTTGGGTAAGGATTCAAATAATTCTCTAAGGAAGGGTTTAGCACGTTAGAGAATCTGCTAACACGCAGTTGACTGACGAATTCTAAAATTGGCTAACTTTTAAGAAAAACAACGAACGAATACTTAAAAATTCTTATTTATTTAATTATTCCCAAACTACTCGAAGATTCTTGTTGAAAATTTAGATCAAATCTCTTGATATTTTGCAAAATTTCAAGAATAATCCTAAAACATAAATTTTTTATCCATGGTCATAATTTGAACCATACAAATAATTCAACATATAAAAATGGATTACAACACTTTGTTTAACAACTATGAAAGGATATTAAAGATACTTAAGTCATTCATACAATGTTTTAAGTTAAATTAATAGACAACTAATTTAGTTTAAGAAACTTAACAATTTTATCCTATTCAAAAATTTGAACTAAATAGTTAGTTCAAACTTGTAAACATGGATTCAAAGCTTTTTAATGACTACGAAAGAACGTACATAGTTCTTAAGTTATTCCATAATCTTAAGTCACTAAAACAATAAACTCTGTTAACAAATCCAACTCCTTGAAAAGGAATTTGATAAAGGAAAAAAAATGTTAAACTCCTATGAAGATTCATCCAAGCCAATAAAACGTTAGAAAAAATGTTAGCAATCATGAAAACAAAAATAATAAAAAGAAGTAACATAAACAGTGAAGAAACTGAAAATTTCAGCCCCAATTCACCCATTTTAGGGGGTTGAAATTGTTGTCTTTTGCTGCTCAGATCTGAGGCCTTCGATCCAAAATGCTTTCTGTTCCTTCTGTGATATTTTCAAACTTTATTTAAGTCCGAAAAGAAAGTCATTTTATTGTTGGGAAAACGCGGACAAGCACAAAAGTATATATGGTAAAAGTAATGAAAATAAAATGGGAAAATAATGACACCAAGAATTTTACGTGGAAACCCTTCTGAATAAGGGAAAAAACCACGGGCCAAGAGGAGCAACTGATATTACTATAGTAAGGAATTTTACACTGTGTAAT